AAAAGTGTTCCAGCTAGTGTTCACTGCAGGCACTCCAGCTCTGACAGCATGGCCGTCAGTTCCCCCGCCCCTCCCACACTGCCGCCACAGGAAGCCATGTAAGTGACCTCTCCTTCTCCGCTCCTTCACTGCAAGGTCGAGGCTCCTGTTGCCAAAGCCAGGCCGTACCGGACCCATTCTCTGCTTTCATCTCTCAAGATTCCCCTGAAAAAAAGACAGTGGTGAGGGGGGGGCTATGAACTCATCTGAGCACATGCTAATTAGGTAGCCTAGCACTAGGCCCATTAACCCATTCCTGGCCTTTTAAGTGAATAAGGATTACATCAATCAGCAGGGACACCCAATGGGCAGGCAGGGACCAGAGTGGGCGGGTGCCTGGAGGGGCAGAGGCCCCCAGCCAAGCAGGCAGTTGTGGAATTGCTGTGAATAATTATTCCACCCGCTTAACATAATTGCAGTGATTTTGTCAGGCCTTGTTTTCGGTGGCGCTTCTCGCATTAGCCGCTCCGTAATTATTCAGGCACCACAAACTTAATTAGCCTCGCCGGTGCCGGAAGCTCTGCCTGATCGCCATCCGTTCGCATCCTATACCACAATTACTTACATTATAACAGCCAGCTATTAATTGCAAAGAGAAGCACTTGTTTATTTGCTCCTGTGCATCTTCTTTGTAGTGTATGCATTCGTCACATTCACTCCCTCACACTCACTTTTTAATTGTCATTAATGAAAAGCCCTTGAGCTTTGCGATGCTGAGCCGCATTTTTCTACACCTTTGATGGGTCACATTCCTAGTTTATATGTCACCTTCCCTCGCCTGGGGATCCATTATGGATCATCATTACCCATTCGGGAGATCATCTCAACCATTTCTGGAAACACCCATTTCTGGGATCATCCTTGTCCAGCCCAGAGAATCATCCTTACCCAGCACATCTTCTGGAATTTTCACATCTTCAGTGAAATTCTCAGAAACAGGACGTACTGTGTGATGCTGTGTATGGATGCTGCCGTAATGTGGACCCGGAGGTTACCAGACCGGGCTTCTTGTGTAATTCCTCTTGCCTGGTGGCCTCGAAACTCTAGAGAGGATCACAGGCAAACGGGGGGCATCTTACGTGGCCAGAAGGACACTGCATGCTCTCTGTGAGACTGTCTGGGGTCACCTGGGCACACAAACAACAGCCATTTTATTTTTATTTTATTTCTTGTGTGGCCGTATGATGTTTGTTCCCAACCTCTCTCACCTTCCCGCTGCAGCACAAATGTTTATTTCCCTTAATTTGGCATTGAGAGAAAAACTGTTCTGTTTCAGGCCAGTAGAGGGCGATAGAGTAGCAGAAACGGGTCACGCTGCGCTCCATCCCCTGGTGGGTGCCTCACATCCTGGGGCTCTTGGAAAGCCATCCTGTTTATGCAGCGCTGTACCATCAAGCCCCCTCCCTTGGAGCCCAGCACAGATAAACACCATGTGTGTTTGTCTTGAGTGGTGTGGCCTCCAGCTGAGTGGCACCAGTCTGCCCAGATCTATCCTCTCACTGTCGGCCCACAGGGTGATGTCCAGCTCTGTCACAATCACAGATGTCACAATACGCACTCTGTCTGGTGTACATGTTGTGAGGCGTGTGTAGCGCAGCTGCGTCAGTCACTATTAGAAGGTGCTTCGTCGGCCATAGAAGACTGGCTGTGATTGGAGGGCCTCGGTGTGCATATGCATGCTCACAGGCCGGCTGTGCATTTCCTAGTTAATGGCTGCGTTCGAATTCAGGGGCTGCACCATCCGAAGGCTTCATTCAAAGACCTGCAAGGCTGTCCCATTTCGACGGCTCCTTCAGATGCAGTCTGGAAAAGCGTCCTCCTTTTTCTGAGTTGTGAAGGATCCGTCCGATGGATCCTTTGCAGCCCAAAGTATCCCAAGATTCATTGTGCTGGGGGTAAAGTGGGTGTGACTGAAGGGTTAGGGCAGGAACAGCCGGTGACAGCCAGACCGTCCCATTTGACGCCGCTCTCTGTTCGACCTTCGAAGAACGCAGCCTATGCAGGCTAGACCTTTGTGGATCACGTCCTTCGAAGGGTGCAGCCTCTGAATTCGAACACAGCCATTAACTAGCAAATGCACAGACGGCCCATGAGCATGCATATGTACCCTGACATTGAAATGCAGACTCTGTAGACTCCCAGGTTTCTGTTAGAGGCGTGCTGGGTCGGCATCTCTTTGAGCTGGCATTCTGTGACCCTCCGCTCCGCCAAATGTGCCAGCTTTCATCAAGCTGCTCCTGCTGATGTTCTCGTTTTGTTGCCATTTCACTAATGTCTTTCCGCCGCTGGGCTGGCCAAGCTCGCGTCGCCACCGCTTGCAGGGCTCTGGTATTTCCGCACTGCTTCCCGCACTGCCATCTTGATTCCCGTCCTGTCGGGGGCCACTGGGCCACTGTGCTGGTCTTTTAGGAAGAGCCCTGCAGAAGATCACCTTCAAAAATGGTTCATATCCAACGGGGGTTAATATTCATTTTCAGTACTTGGTTTTTTTCCACTCCTGTACCCCTGAAGCCTTCAGATGGATCATTTCCAGTGTAGATTTCAGAGAACCACTTTTTGATTTCTTGGTGCTCGAGGGCCCAGGGATTCCGAGGGGTTCTGGACACTGGGGTAAAGTGACGGTTGGCCAAGAACCAACTGCCTATTGCCCCCTGGTGACGAAATAGTTGCACAGCACTTCTCCTTAAATGCCCTCAGTGTCAGTCCCGTCTGCCTGCACACACCTCTAAAATTAGTGTTCCTCGCCAGTTTTTGTCTGGCGTAGCGGTGACACGTAATTGCCCGCCTAGGGGAAAGTGATTCATTGGGGATGGAGGGTGGAAAGGAAATGTTTGGCTATGCCCTTTTCGAAGCCCCTGGGCCCCGTGCACCACGGTGGACGACAGCGTCCTTGACCAGAGCTGATTCAAGGTTCTGAGCCATGCAGGATGCCTGAGGGGCTCCTGCTTCAGGGTGGGTGTGTGATGGGGGCTCAGCTTCAGAGAAGTACTTCAGATCTCAGATCCTGGTCCTACCTTGGTCTGGACCATTTAACTTGGTTCATCCATAAAATATGGTAATTAGAGCAAATTCATATATCCCATCTGTAGTGTCTATGTGCTCTGTGTGCACTCCTGAAGAAAGCAGCACAGAAGTGAATGTGTTTGTGCACCTGTCCCTGATGCACTTTTTAAGTGGAATCCATTAAAGTGCAGGGCGTGCGATGGGGAGAGAGATCAGAATGCAAGGAGCCCGACAGTGAGCCAGGTTAAACTAAGCGAGCGTGAAAGGTAGAGTGCGGAAAGATTGCCCCCAGCCTTCCTGTCCTATGGCATGATGCCACCTCAGTCAGCATTTGCTTCTGTCTTGGCACTGCTTTGGTATCAGGTCGACCAGACCCAGAAACAGCTCTGATCCAGCACCACAACTGCAATACCATGCAAAGCGATATAAAATGATACACTTCCATTCAATACAGTTCAAAGCAATGAAAAAAGGGTAACACTTAGTAATAACTCAGGTACTACTAAAGTACAAATCATGAACAAATCATGAATAATTAGTCATTACTTGATAAAATATCATCATGATTTATTAATGATGAACAAACATGTCTTTAACGTGTTATTCATGACTTGTTCCTTCATTAAAGGTTTACTTGAGATAAAACATACATTACGATTCATTAATGAAGATTTAACATGAGATCATTATATAGCTAAGACTTAGTTTGTGGTTAATTAATAAGTAAGTAATGGCATAATACTATATTCGTGCCCCATCAAGTAAAGTGTAACCCAAGAAATCTTTTGATAAGTAGTGATGGTTTTTTTTGTCTGAAATTGCTTTATTTATTTTTCAAGCCTAAGAGTCAATTTGTCGTGGTTATTCTGAAAACGAGTAGGCCAGCGTTATGATTAAACATGCAAATTACTGCTGGAATTTGGCAAAGTCATGATGAGGACGCTGGCATAACTTGTAAAAGTTTATTGCTTCCTTCATTGCACAGTTGGAAACCTCAGATTATAATTAATTATAATTTTTATTAAAACTGGCATCCATCCATTTCCCTTTTTGAAGTATTTTCTATCCGCCATTTTGGAGGGGGCTGCTTCTGACTGCCTTGTTGTGATTGCTCCGTGACCTTGCGCCGTCCTCCTCTGCTGCAGGATGGTCCTCCCTCTCTGTCTCGTCGTGTCAGTTCCTTCCCGTGTCCGGATCAGAACGCTTCGATGGACGTCTCCCTTACACTCCCACCACGCCTCTACGTCTCCCGCTAGCTTGTGGGAAGGAACATCAGAAAGACAACTGCACACTGTATCTAATCCAACCCCCTGCCCCCAGATCCCCTCCCATCTCCATCTCCTGCTCGTTGATGGAATATTTCTCGTTCTGAGTTTCTGATTGATATTCTTCCGTAACACATCCATCAACTTGACACGCTGCCCGTCGCAGGACTGGGGACGCCGTTTGGTAAAGGGAAGCCGGTTTCCCCCGCTGAACATTGCAACAACATTACAGATGCGTTAGGCTCTGCAGCTTCGCGCTGCACGCTCAGCAAGCGGGAGGCTCGCGTTGCGCTTGACGGGCTTTGCGTGTTAAGCTCTGCCAGATGCGCCTCTGCTGGGGAGCCGCGAATCCCCACCATCGCCACCACCTGAATCCGCGAGGTATCGCTGATGGACACAGACTGAGGAGAATCTGTAAGCAGACTACGAGAAGGCAGTCTGGCAGAAATACACCCCAGGTAATGCCCAGGCATATGTTCAGGGAGAATAACGTCTCACATGGGGATTTTGCAGTGAGGAAATAAAACAGGACAAGTCAGATTAAATGCATTTACATCGGTAAATAGATTGAACAGGCCGAAAGTCCTTCTGTCGATAGTATATGGCACTATTGATGTTTAAGTTTCATTATAAAGGACTCCTATTGAAGAGGGGCCACATGTGACCTTTGACAATTTGATCTTTGGTCCTCACACTTTGACAGTTGGCGAAAGGTCAGGGTGTCACGTGTAGTCACAGCTTTGCCGTAAGTGTTGCTTCTTGTTGCAGCCTCTGTCATTAAAAGCTTCGCTGTTGCTGCTCTTGTTATTGCCGTAGGACATGTCTTGGGTTCCCTTTGCCCCTTGTGGCCTTTTGAATTGCAGATCCGCCATGAATTGAGTTCGGGGGAATAGACGGTTCAGCAAGACTAATAAACTGCTCGGCCTCCTGATGTCGACATGCCAGCCATCTGCAGTGGCCATTACACTACAGGAGTGTTGTTATGGTCATTTCTACACTGGACTTTAACACTTGAGCACTGGGATAGGTAAGGTGGGAAGGGAGTTGTAAGGGGGGGGGGTCTATCTCATTATGGTTTGGGTCTAATTAAAAGGCCTTGTCATCTAATTGGGCCAAGAGGTCTGTTCCCCTGGTGCCAGGAGGTGGGCCACATGGGCCGTGGGGGAGGGACAGTGGAGTAGGAACTGTTGCCATGACGTGATTGCCAGACATTCTGCAACACGGGTCAGCTAAGCAGTGCCGAGGGGGGTGTCCCTGAGGGCGTGACCCCTGATGTAATTGATCAAAAGTGCACCAGTGTGAGAAGCTTGGAATACCTAATAGGGCTCATGTGACAAGGTAGTTACTATCTGTTTGAGTAAATGGGAGGGGGGGGGGGGTCTTCCCTTTACACAACAATGTAACCTGTGTATGGAGGCTGGCCATCTGAGTGTAGTCCAGGGTGAAACCCAGGGAATCGTATGACGTATGTAGAATGTTTGGTCCATATAACTACATGAAAATTCCACTGTCGGTTTTCAAAGAGGGTATAGCCATGGTACGTGTTTGTGGGTTGGAAAGGGAGTGAAGGACAGCGTGTAGTAGGCGTGTCCGAGGGTTAAAAAACGCATGTTACCACAGTGGAGAGAGATAGATGGGGAGCATGTGGCGGATGACCAAAGTCCAAAATCCAGTTCATTGCCCCCTGCTGTTCGGGGGAAGACAGGTGTCAGGTGTCAATGCCTCAACATTTGTCTCAAACTTCTTGCCAATAAGAAGATGCTCTTTGACATAGCTGCTGCAGTCAGCCTCTCAGAGCCAGAGCCTGTAACCGGCGTTTCTGAAGGGGGGCTGGCGCTAGGTGCTGATCAGGCTCAGATCAGGTCCACATGCTTCTGCTCCATTTCCTGCAATATCGCAAAGATGTCCACACACTTCATCAGTGTCGCATGACAGTCACCCAGGTGTCTCCTAGCGGCTATGCTGACATTACACTGGATATCCATCAATCTGTACACGCATCCATTCATCCGTCTATATCATCTCCATAACTGCATATCCACTGTAGGAAGCAGTGGGCTGACAGCCTGTCAGGAAGAACGAGGCACAAGACAGTGGCATTAGAGCATCACACACTGGATGTCAGTAAATTAATAACTTTTTCAGTATAGAGTACCTTAAAAAAACAAAAACTCTTTACAGGTGATTTTTTTTCCGAAAACAAAATTAATCGGTACTCCCATTGTGCCAATGTGGGAAAAAGAATACGAGGCATTCGCATTGCCCATGCGTGCCAAGGGGACTGCTGGCAGCCAACATAATTAATGCACACCCTGTATTTTTCTGTCTGCTACCTGTAAGCTGCTGTTTACATCAACAGAGATGTTGTTGCCTTCCCAGCATGCCGAGCACAGTCACATGACATGCCTGATATCTCACGCTCATGACTAGGCTACATCTCCACATGAAATTTACATGCTTGCTTCGTCAATAACGATGAAATGCCGTGATCGCACTTAACGTTGTCAATTTTGCGAAGAAAAGGAAAAAAAAAAACTGGTAGGTTGGACATATCCCAGTCCTGTGATTAATTCCACTGAATCTGGAACACGATGGGTGTGGGGCAGGGGGGGGGGGGGGGGGGGGGTGGTATTGACTCGACCAGGCGGGCTGTTAGTCATTACAGGTACAGATGTTCGCTGTGACTTCAAAGTCTCCAATGTTACGTGACCTGATTACGTTGGTTGGTTGAATTGATGCTTACCACAAGGTGCACCCCCCCATCCTAGTCAGGGGGAGCGTGTAGGACAGACCACAGCTGGATGTAGCTTGGCAGAGTCTCCCTGCTCTGCAAGTGCAAAAAAATCAGAGATCTCGTTTAGTTATGTGATTGGTTCCGTGCATAAGGAGTGCTTTTAGTTGTGGTGTTGACAGAAAGTGACAATGTCATTATATATAAATATCCTTCCATCATTCATCCAACTCTGAAGCCAATAAAACATACGGGTAAACTTGGAGCCTATCCCAGGACGCTAAGGGGACGAGTCAGAGGACACCTTGAATTGGACATCATTTTCCATCATTATCCATAGTCAGGTGCATTGCATTGGAAAAAAAAATAACTCCAGGCTGTTAGCGTGTGAAATTCATCAAATGTGATGCTGTAAATGAGGGGTGGCGACATGAGGCAGGGTGGCTTGTTAAGGAAAGCTCGTAATGGCTCCCGTCCTGGTGTTCCTGTGCCTCAAGCTGTGATACGCCAGACCACGGCTGAAGGGAAGGCCTCGGATCATCTGTGTGTGAAATAGACCAGCAGCCCTGGTTCGGGTTGGGTGGGGGGGGGCACATGGATTAAGGTCTGAGTCTCACACTGGGGGCAGATATGGCTTCATAAGAGAACAATACAGCAGTAGTGCAAAGCATCTGTCGGACCCTTAAGTCTACTGAGAAACATATTATATGCTAATCATAGCTTCTTAAGTAACCTGTTATGATGCTTTCCTGTCAATCAAATTATTGCAGCAACAATAACAGCCTAATATGATAATTACAGATGCTTATCTTTGTCTTTGTGATGTACTGGTCAGAAATTTTGACATCAGTGCTAAGCATCTCATTGGCATATGCATCTGATGTGTTTGATTATGATTATATATAGAAAGGTCTGCAACTACGCAATGACGGTGCCGATAGTTAATGATTCACCTCCCGCGTTTTTAATTATTTAGCAGGTGCCATAATTCAAAGCCGCTGGTCGCTTTACACTTTTACAGTCATTCCAAGAATCAACACGTTTCGTTGGGGGGGGGTATCAAAAAAAATACAGCCAAGTGAATCTTTCGAATGATCACCTGATGGAAAGCCGTATTCCAGTTAGACCTGATACTGGTGCTTCTACCTCCACAACGGGCATGTAACCAGTGCTTCCAGTGCATCTGCTATGTCGGCTCGAGGCAAAACGCTACACGTCATTTAGAACTGTTTAATCAACAATAAATTACCCGAAGAGCCTAAGTGCAAAGTGAAGGAATCTCCATCAATATTATGAAGAGCAAAGATGTACTTTTCTGTATTATCCTGCCATGTATTAACGTCAACAGCGCTTCAGCCTCCATTTGGTCACAAACTTAACATCTTCCAAAAATTACGGTAACATCTCAAATTGCAGTTCTAAAATCGCATTGCACGGGGACATATATATTTTTTGGTTAAGATTAGTAAATGAACCTCTTTTGGGCACCAAACCTTAACCGAATACCCGAAAGGAGAGACGCTGTGTTTAAAATAACCAACTTAAATATAGGTTATTTATAACTAAGTTGAGTTTACGTTGCGCATCCATGGCAATGACGGCATATATTTCACGTGTGTTTGTGTTTATTTAACAACGCGGACTAACGAAGCGTTACTTTTAGACGTGTTACTCCACCCGCTGAGCATGCCACACGGGTGCCCTTTGCGTACAAAGAAATTTTAAGCTTTGTTGATCAGTGTTAATAACATACCGCATTGCGGCTGGACCCAGTCTAGACAATTTTTAAATTGACAGTAATACCACTTAAACGTTTCAAAGCACACACACGCTCCTCCGCTCCGCCTCACAGCTCCGCAAACTGCAGTCCGAAGCACCGAGAGTCTCTTAGAGCGTCTCCGGCCCCCAAACTGCGGCTTGCGGCAAGAGGGCTCGCGTTCGCCGATTGGTCGGCGCGCCCGTCAATCAGCGCAAAGGGGCGGCTGCCTTCCACGCCCACTCCTCTGTGCTCTGCGCCGCGAGCTGTGCACAGCGACGTAGGCGGAGGGGAGCTGCGCAGCTTTCGGCCCAACACAATGCTATTCGGGTCTTAGAGCACCCCTGTTCATCTGCAGCAAGAGAGAAAGAGAGAGGGAGAGAACACTGCCTGCCCATACGTCAAGCGAGGGAGAGAGAGGGAGAGACCGATCGGAGTAGGCATTTGGATTGGGGAATAAAATTGTTGGACCGGAAAAAAAGAAAAGGAGAATATTGCGTTATTCTCTGAATAACGGCAATTACATTATAAGACGAGCTTTATTTTCTCGCAACAGAAATGTCATCGTCGGGTAAAGACAACACCGGGGCTCAACACGCCAATTACGTGGGACCTTACCGCTTGGAAAAGACGCTCGGGAAAGGACAGACAGGTTTGTTAAATTTTTTAAATTGCGTTTTCTTCCCCTCGCCCCTCTCCCCTCCTAGGCTTGTTTGCATCAAGACGCCGGCATCGCACCTGTCTCCGGACGCGATCAATTCGCCGGCTGCATGTTGCATTTGCGGGCTGATGTCAATCAGGTTAAATGGGAAATTTGGGCGATCGGGATTATTTCTTGGACTACTGCGTGCCGTGGACATGGTGTTCCTGGGGCTCTCTGTGGGGTGAGCACAGCGACACGGTGCCCCACTATTTCTCTTTCCTGTAAGTGCTGAGGTGGCTCAGTGCCGGAGGACTGGGCAGCGTTACGGTACCAGCAAAACAGTAATTCTGCCAAAAGTGATTAACTCGACTGATTAACTTATTTGCTGTGGCCCCGCAGCCTTCTCCGATAGGTGCCCAGATTTCCCAGTTTCCCTCACCATATCGATGCTTTAATCGCTTTTATTTGCCGCGGTCACCTATTCTGCTTCAGCGAACTGCTCACCGGCGCAGTGAATTGAGTCTATCGGTGCAGTGGACCCGGTGATGGAAACCAATGTGAGGGGAAAATGCAATTTAAGGTGGACGTAGCAGGTGCAGTTAAGTTATCACCATTAATGATCGTCATTAGGAGATGTTAGCACACTTAACAGTGAAGAGCATACTGAAAGATATTCTGATTGTATATATCTATACGTCTATGCGCATGCAAGCTTATGTGCTTACGTCTGTGTGTGCAAAATAAGTACATTAGAATATAATCCTAATCTTTTAAAAGCCCCTGGCCTTGCATGGGGCTGCCGTGATCAGACCTTCACTCGTCACGTTAAGGAAGTGAACTGCAATCATTCAATTTACTCGCAATAAGTGGAACCGGCACTGCGGTTGTAAACGCCGGTTTTCGGAGCGGCATCAAGGCGAGGTGACAGCGCTGAAAGAGGCTAGTCCTGTCCGCAAAGTGTGCTCTCCTTTTCTACCTTCTGTTCATCTGCCATCCAAAACGGTTACTATAGGCGTTACCTTCCCTACCATTCTCCAGCTGGCAGTGCCATCCCCGCTGTGTCCGAGACACATCCTGCGATCCGCAGTTTTTACTTCGGGGTGGTGCTATCTATGTACGTGGCCTGACGTTAGAGCTGCCACACGCCCCTTTAACGCGATATGGGAAGTCATAAGCAGTTCCACACCGGCTAAGGCTGGCGTCGCTCCGTGCTGTGGCCGGACACATTGGTGTGCAGTTGCGCAGACTGACTCGGGTGATCATGGAGACATTTCCGACCCCTTACTGGTGTAGCCGTTTTGCCTGTTTCTCTGGTCAGATCCCAAAACACGATGCATATTTAACGCTGAGTGTGCCTGGAATTGGGTGTATGGCTTTCTCTTGTTAAGGGGTGCGTTTTTTTTTCTTTGGTGCTGATCTGAGCATCAGTACCTTGTCTGTCCTGCTGCCCCCTCCCAAACGGGTGTTCTTGTGAGAAACTCGGGATTTTAACTCATTCGGAGCCTCTGTGGCACTAAAAATAGATCGAGCTGAGTAAGCTTCCATGCGGTGCCTGAAATACATTACTGTGTGAGAATAACGCAGAAACACATGCTTGTGTGCGTGCATGGCCATTAATTATGGGAGTTTGTAAAGCCCTAATAATCCAAACCGGCCAATACAACCCCCTGGAGCCCCTTAAATAGGTGGAGACCTCACCCCCCCCCAAAGCTCAACCCAAAGTTATGCCCTTGTATGTGTATGTGTCCCACCTGTCTGTTAAACATTACCAAATCCGCAGTGGAACTAATCTTTCTGTTGTCCTTCCCAGTGTACACTTTCAGCAGACTCTTTGCAAGTAGCCAACGTAAACATTTTGCTCTGTAAGGGTCTGGCTCTGATGCTTCTTTTTCTTTATCTTCCTGTGTCCCTGGGCTCGTTGGATTAAAGCTGCCAGGACCCAAACAGAACAGTCTCTCCCCTGCACTGGCTATACTTTCCTGCGGGCATCTTGGCACACCTGGTGCGGTCAGGGAAGGTGTCGTAACAGACTGCCGCCCTGTTTCTGGCTGATTCTGCATGCCTTTGCGACGGGCCGCTATTTATAGAGGCGAGCGGAAGGCTACGGATGATCAGGCGGTCCTGGAGGGTGCTACGTTCATTATGCGATTAGGCTAACGTGCACATGCTTCTGTGCGTAGCGGTAATCCCTTTATGTGAGCACACGTGCACCAGGAGGGGAGGGGGGCCTTGTGGCGGTACATGAGGGGAGGTGCAGTGTCATGTGGGCTGCGGTGTGTCTCCGTAGGTCATAGTTATTTGCCTAACTCTAGCACTGGTGCCTGAAATGACCCTGTTTGAAGTACTGTGTCTGCCTGTCAGCCATTCCGGCTCTTCTCCTTCCAGTTTCCTGACTTCATGTGCTGTCTCCCACTTGTTTGGTATGTGCTGGGTTCCTGGATCACTGCATTTTGATGGAGGCAGTAACCTTCAAGGGGATGGTTAGGGAGAATTCAGGTTTTCCTTGATGTTCTGCAGATTTAAGGCATACACTTGGTGAGGAGATCCTGCTTGTGTGGTTTCCATGCCATGTTCTTCCTCCAGTGCATGAAATCCATCTACTCTGTACCTTGGTGTCATGGTTTGTGATGGAGCCTGGGACTTGTAATTTCCCAAATAACAATGACCATAATAAATGAAACATTTACATCCTGTTTTCTTGGCTGGGTCATCATTCTGAAGAACGAACAGGGTGGTTTCTTGTTACTTTACGAGTATTTAAATGGTGAGAAACGGCATGTATTAAATACCACAGTGTTTGTCTCATGAGTTGGCATTCGTATGTAATTGCTGAATGATCTTGCTGGAGATTTCTTCTTAGTTTTTGAGTCGTGTTATTGTGAAAGGGATTCCCGTGGTGTCTTGGTGCTGGACGTCTGAAATACAAGCTATCTGCTGTCACAGCAGTGAAATTTTACCCCAGGTGACGTGAGGCGGTTATCGACAAGGTGTTTGCATTCTGTCTCTTTCGACTCGTGTTAATCGATCGAGAGGGGACCCCCTACACGGGCAGGAGTAAGCGTTCATGCGGTGTGGACTGATTGCTGCCTGTATGAGTCGGGTGAATGCAGATTCGAAAGGTTTTCCCGCTCCCAGAAGGAATCCAATTCATGTTCCTGACAAGAGTTTCTATGACGCTGTTGATAGTAGGTCCTCGTCGGAACTGCCGTCGTCCTTGAACCAGCTGACTCGGCGCGCATATAATCGTCCCGCCCCTGCTGTCCCTGGGACACCCCTTCTCCGGGCGCGATCGCCACACACCGCAGCAGATCGACTGTGGCCGCTCGCCAATCATTAAAGGGCTTCCCTTTACTTGCGAGCGTCTCCAGCACATACTGCGAGCAGAATCGCTAAACAGCAGGGCTGTGCTCGGCTATCACGCTTCAGGAAGCATGTAGGGGTGATGATACATGGTGATTGCTGATCATGCGCTGACCCGAAAGCAGTTCCTGGCTGTGCGTGGAGGTACACCCTGAAATGAACCAACTCAGGTGCCACATGGTAGTCTCGGGGACTTCCGTCCCAGTCAGCCAGCTGGCCCATCTTCATCCTTCCTCTCCAGAACCCCTCCGTGTGCCGGTGTCGCCGACCGGTCTCATCTGTTCGCCTGCCTTGTCTGGGAGGGCTCTGGGCTGACAGTGCTAAAGCAGACGCCCACTTAGTGCCCATGAATCCTAAGCAGGGCTTGGGCCAGGGCCAGGCGGGCCGGAGGAGGGGGCGGGCCCGTCAGAGCGTCTCCGCTGTCTGGTGTTTTGTGCCGGCCGAGCCATCGGGCCAGGAACACTGCGCAGTGAGCGCAGTGCCAAGTTGCCCCTCGCTGCCATGGATTGCACAAATGTCACGACAGATCTTCATGGTAGAGGAGGTCGGTGGGTGGGGCCAGGGAGTGGGAGGTACTTGGAGGCGGAGTCTAAAGAACAACAGTCATCACTACAATATTCACTCCTGATAGAACAGTTTCAAAGCCTTAACCATTTAGCTACATTCTGCTATCCCCCCCCCCCCCATTGTGCAAAGCCCACTATTATACACCTCTCTGCCATTTTTATGTGGCTAGTGCACATGTTGGCTACCACTGACAGCAGGGGTTTTCCTGATAAAAAGGAAGGAGGGAGATTTTGTTTGTTTAGACCAAAATGACTGTGCGAATGTCGCTTACAGCAATAGCCTGTGATCCCTCCAGTGGGGAGCTTTACTTACCTTCATTAAAAGTTGAGTTTGAGGATGACAGGAGTGAAAGTGCTCTCAGCATCCCGCCTCCTCCTTCCCGTTCACGGACGTCATTGGCTGTCAGAAAAGTTTTTTCTTCTTCTCACCAATCCGCCCCCAGATGAGTCAGAAATGACGGCTCGACGGCATAGAGGGAAAAATGCAGTTTTGCGACTAATTGGCCGCATGTTCGTGCTGTCGACCTCGATTGCATCATGCTGGAATGGGCCGTGCCACCGGCGCCTCCTGTGGTGACCACGTTGTGTTTTTGATAAACCGGCATGTATTATTGTTGATGTAGAAGCATTGATGTTCACTCAGGCAATATGAGTTAATTGAACATGGGCTAATTAAATATTTTTGTGGAACAAGACGTTGTAACTGATCTGAAGTCCAGCTCATTACCTTACTGCCCACTGGTCTGCATTGAGCTGCAGGTGGGTAACATGGTGACTTCTGGCTTTATGGTGAATGATGCCCCCCCCCCAAATTTCTAAACCGTATGCTGGCTGTTTGACTGTTGACAAATCCCAGTTCACTGCCCCCTGGAGCTCAATCCCCACCCCCCTTCTTATCTACTGTGCATCATAACCAGCTGAGGAATTCCCAGAGGGAGTGAGCTGGCTCCCTAATGAGGCAGAAGCAGACAGGGGGGGGGGAGCTTCAATGGTAAGGAGAGTGGGATGGGGGGGGGGCGAGAGGTGCCGCTGGGAGGGGCGGCCATGCCGAGACAGGTGTCAGGATACGAGAGCCTGCGGGCCCAGAGGCGGGCTGGGAAGAGTGTGTATGGGCGGAGAGGCATTCACTGGAGGAGGATGCGTCCCTATGGCAACAGGCCACGCCTCCTAGAGACATCATGGGCCCAAATTAGGTGTCTGTCTGCTGCGAAGATCACCCACTGACAGCTTTTCATTGACTGCCGTCATCGCCTCGGCTTTCTCTCCCTACACTATGAAGTCAGCCCTGTGTGGGACCAGACACTCCAGCAGGGATGATTGGAGATGATTTTTAATATATATATATATTATTATTATAATGTTATGTGTGTGTGTGCGTGTGTGTAATAAATATATATGGTCATATATAAAGATATATATCAGATGGTTTCTTTTAGAGATTGATGACAGAGAAGCAAATTAAATCCATATTACCAAATCCACTTTACAACAAGTCATTCATCAAATTACCCCACAGAGCGGCTGTGTCTCTTATGTTGCTGGGGCTCTCAGGAGGATCTGCAGGCTTGACTCCTGATGCCCTCTGTGTTTTGTGGCAGCAGGTGGGGGGGTAGGGTGGTTGTGGGGGGAGACACACCATGTTTGGGTTACGGCAATTCCGACAGAGCCGACGGGCTCCTGTTTTGGAGCGTAATTCTCCGCGACAAAAATCTCGTTCTGCCTGCTGTTCGCGGGAGCGGAAAATTGTACAGGAGCGCGGTGCGGCTATGGTCAATTTTCCATCAGTCGTAGCCAATTTCAGCGACCGTGTCGTCGTCACACCCTGACTCTTAATGCTGTGTTGATATTTGTAAAATGTCTTTTGTATAGATATTGTATTTATTCTGTTATTTTGATTGGTCCCCTGGATGAAATGAAAGATACAGGCCAGCTATGCTATGTCTGTGGAAATTCACTCATCTTATTTTATAAATATACTTAAATAATTTTGCCAGCTATTTTTTTTGAGTTTTGCCCTGGATTCAAAGTTCACAGCTCTTTCTGGATGAATCCGTGTCTTTGTTTCCGTCTGTGGGGCCGTAGCCCCAGCCTTCAATTTGCCTTCCCTTAAGTGCTGGCTAACGGGGGGCCGGTTGTCATGGTTTCGCCTCCTTTGCCGGTTACTCTACTCTCCT